GCGTTCCACCCGTTGGAACCCGGCCTGCGCGCCCATGAATGACCATTTTGCGTGTTCCCGCGGGCGCTCCGGGCTTGGCAAAAGTGAGTTTTCACATATATGATGGATTATCAATGTATTCTATGTATTATATATATATGTGTGTGTGTAAATATGGTTGGATATAGTGTATCAAATGCTGTATGAACATGTATCAAAAATACACCTGGGTATGGTACAGCACATTGAAGATTGAGATTCCTGAGCTTTTGAGGTTGTTGCATTAGCAACATTGAAGAACATGGATTGGGAAGGAAATTGTCGGCCAACTTCATTGGTCACCGAGCAGAAACCTGGCTACGAAAGATGGCAGCCAGGTCAGGTTCTTAGCTGGGGATAGTTGCCTCCAATTCCCATCTCTACCCATCATTCCAGTGACGTCATACCAGTGAGGTCGTCATGAAAATGTTCCAGATCCATTGTTTTTACACATAGAATATTATTCGGCAAATAAAACAAGATTTTTAGCCATCAAGAAACACCAATTCCATTGATCCATGTAGCCCCCAACAATGGCTGAATGCCATCATCCCCAAATGACCACGCACGGCCTGCTGGTTCCTCGGTGATTGAACCGTCTTCCAGCGAGCGGATGATGCCCTCGATCTTAGCAGAGCTTAGTATGGAGGAAGTCATTTTGAGGCACAAATATCTCAGATATCCCATCCCCCATCCGCAACGAAAAACGGATCCTCGAAAGGAACAGATCCAGTAGCCGTAGCCACACAGTAGCCGTAGCCACAAATGGTGGGAAACAAGTATGTCCAGAACAAAGCGCATATTTTTTGGTGTGTGTGGTGTCACTTTACCTTTTGGGATCGAGAAAAGCTGTAAAACCACCGTGATGCTCCACTCTTCAACTCGTCACCTAGTGGTCCCGAGGAACCCCTTTTCTGATGCGAAACTTTGAACAGACTGGAAAAACACCACGGTCTGGGTTTCAAAAATTGCAAAAAAACACCTTCAATGGATTGGTTTAAGGGAAAATCTACAGGAAACCATGGTTTTTACCATCAAATATAAGGGTTTCCATGGGGGTTCCTGAAAATTTTCCCATCATCCAACTCTATGACACCAGTCCCGCTTCAGCTACCGTCGAGCCCAGTCGTCCGTCGTCCCGGTTCTGAACTCTACACTGAGTGTGCCCACCGCGTGTGAGACCGCCTGGCCGATTTGCAGTTGCCTTTTGGATATCACTTACTGGTTGGTGGTTTCAGCCCCCCTGAAAAATATTAGTCAAATTGGATCATCATCCCAACTATTGGGGAAAATAAAAAATGTTCCAAACCACCAATCAGCTTAAAGTACCCTCCATGATTTTCCGATAAAAATGGTGATCTTCAATAGCTATGTCAAATTGGGGCTAAATCTCTTTTAGCTGATCTCAGGTTCAAAAGTTTTCCACGTCAGATATGATCAGATCGACCCAAAGCTGAGCCACTTTGGGGATCGAAGAAGTGCAGGTTGCTTGCCATGCTCTTCGTATATTCTTTCTGCTTATTTTTCTGGTTGGTAGCTTCAGCCCAACCGAAAACTGAAATCATCAATCGGTATCATCATCCCAGCTAGGATGTAAAACAAACCAAAAATTCCGTTGATGATGACTATATAATGCATATCCCAGGTGACCCAGAGACCCCCATTCTGCTTGTTTCTACAATGCGGGTTCCCCCACTCATAAGTTTGTTGTAAACCCCCCTACCATAAAACATAGTGACATCGGACTTATCAACTCACCAACTCAGCTATTTCATTAGCGGGGGGCCACTTTGTATAGCATCTATTTCTCAATGTTTTTTTGTTGGCGAAATCCGAAATTTCGGGTCACCCAGAAACGTTCTTCGCCCACCTGTTGAGTCTTGACTACCTTGCGGAGAGCTGGCCGTGAAAATAACGATTATGTTCTTAAAATAGTTGGTGAATGGATGGTTGTTCCCCTAAATATGCTTAGGTTTTGACCCATCCCGATATCGAGGTGGCAGAATTTAAGCTACTGTATCTAGTGGAATACCTGGAATACCTAGAGTAGATCACAGTGATTCTGGCTGTGATTCCAGAATCAAATTCTTATCCCAAAAAATGCAAAATAAACAGCTCCTCTTTCTCGATGTGGTAATTCTGTCCTCCCATCCTTGGGTCACATGGCTGCTCCGAACACACCAGACTACAAGGGACTACAAGGGTGGGAAACTGGGTGTAGAAAACGGTAACATGACCAATTCTTCCCTAAATGTGGCTATCATGTACAGTACCTATAGCATCCTGGTATGCCCTATTCTCAGACAAACCCAAATATCATATTGTTACGTCTTCTGTATATGTTTTTAATATCCGTTTTTCCATTTACAATCATGAAACAACAGGGATTTAGGAGCCACTGCTCAAATGAAACGTTTCCTAAGTCATGGGGTAACCCCCCCAAATCATCCATTTGATTCTCGGATTTTCCACCATAAGCCATCAATTTTGGGGTACCCCCAATTATCTGGGTAAATTATGATTTCATTAACCTGAATCATGCGGTTTCGGTCGCAGTAAGGTCGTTATAATTTACCCACATAACATCAACAATTATCTAATGACCATCAAATCATCAAAATCATCAAATGGAAAATCCATTTGGTTTCCAAATCATCCAAATCATCAACTATGTTCCATTTATTTCACCAGAATTTCTGGGATTTTCCACTAAAAACCATCAACTTCGGGGATTTTCCACTATAAACCATCAATTTCGGGGATTTTCCACTATAAACCAGAAATTCTGGGATTTTCCACCAGAATTTCCACTATAATTTCGGGGTACCCCCAATTACGGAAAACCACAACAACGGTGATTCAATCGCCTGCCCTCGCAGCGAAGGAGGTCGGCGCACCGAGGCCTCGCGGGAAATTTAAGGAGAGTCAAACGGTTGAAAACATGGGATTAACCATGGGGATTTAACATATGCAAGTTTTACGCGCCTACGACCCTCAAACCTCCACCTACGACCCTTCCAGGTCACACCTGGGGAAGATAAATGCAACAATGTGGTGAACTCGTTCGAGGAAACTTGTGGCAAACCACGAGCATGGCTCTACTGATGACGGTCACGCTTCAACAGGTTGCAAAAACGAAGAAGGCACGTGACGTATGGTGAGGTATGGTGACGTATGGTGAGGTATGGTGAGGTATGGTGAGGTATGGTGCGGTATGGTGAGGTATGGTGAGGTCTGGTGGGGTATGGTGCGGTATGGTGAGGTATGGTGAGGTATGGTGAGGCAATGCATTTGACTCATCAACCGCGTTCTTCAAAAATATATTGGCCCTATTGCCAAGCAGTACCTCCACTAAATCCGAAATAAATGTTAAAATAACTTTAAAAATGATTAAAACAATTAACATATTAATGGTTTATATATGGTTAATATATGGTTAATATATGGTGCATATATGGTTAATATATGGTTAATATATGGTTAATATATGGTTAATATATGGTTAATATATGGCTAATGTATGGTTAATATATGGTTAATATATGGTTAATATATGGTTAATATATGGTTAATATATGGTGTGTATATATATATATGATTAATATATGGTTAATATATGGTTGATTTATGGGTAATATATGGTTAATATATGGTTAATATATGGTTAATATATGGCTAATATATGGTTAATATATATGGTTAATATATGGTTAATATATTGAATATATGGTTAATATATGGTTAATATATGGTTAATATATGGTTAATATATGGTTAATATATGGTATATATATATGGTTAATATATGGTTAATATATGGTTAGTATATGGTTAGTATATGGTTAATATATGGTTAGTATATGGTTAATAGATGTTCACCAGCTTCTAAAATTTATATGGCATAAGTTTATGTTTAATATTTGGATAATGGATGTTAATAGTGGTTTATAACTGACAATAATGGGTAGGCAATGAGAGTGGCAGGCTGTGGGAGTGCGCTGTTTCATAAGTTTTGATCATCACACAAAAAAAAAGAGGGGGGGTGTTGTGAGCGCCAGTTTTTTGGCATTTTTGATATTTCATGTCTGCAAAAGTACCAAACCCTGTTCTTTCCAAAACCAAACCGTGCTGTTTCTGTAACAAAAGCAACCACTGTGCATTCTCAACAGCTCTCCTAATGTCCTACATAGATACATAGTTTCAGCCAAAACAACCATGAATAATAAATACAGACAACAAAACAAACAAGTGCAAATGCCTTTCCAAAGAGTGCAGCGTTGCTTTAAAAATGTATAGACATCTCTACAGGAGTTTCCCTCAACATATGCAATAGTTCTTTTGGGCATGTGCATTCTAAACAGGGACCAATTTATGCAATATGTTCTCTATAAACAATGAAGGAAAAAAATGCAATCTGCACTTGTAAGGTTGCACTGCGTCCTGCGGCTCCGCTCCTCATCTGCTTCCATAGGGATATGTCTTCCACGGCGACCTGGAGCATCACCCTCAAAGCGGAGGCATGCATCCCGTGATTTGGCTGCTGTGCTGCGTTGCTGACTCTGAACTGCAGCGCGTGATGAAGATGCTGCTGCTGCCAGAACTAACGGCTGAGACTTCGCGACATCTTCCGCCGCTTCATCGCCTTCTTCTTGTTGTACATCAGGTCCTTAGCACAAACATGACCAAGACAATTGCCAAATGAGAGAGATTATAGCGCCAGAAAAGGTTGGAAGTCTAATCTTGTTCCCCTTTTCAGTTTGTTAAGGACACATTTCATATAGCATCAAGCTGTCACATCAGTGATACGTAGATGCTTCGTAGCAACGGTCTTCATCGAACATACCTCCGCCGCACACATCCCAGAACATCTCTCTACTGTTTTCACCCCCAAAATAGCCAGTCGAACGAACAGCTGGAACATGATATGTCGGTGACAAAAGCAAGCCAATTTTTCTGGACCCGGCACGCTCCAGAAGCCACTTTCATCTTCCAAGTGGTGGCAAACATCTGATGCGGTAGCATGACTCTGAGCAATGGACAGGGTGAAGCCAGAAGCACTGTCTTCTAACCTCATCACGACGTACCTGCATGATTGCACAGATTTCAGCAGGCATCGCAGGTACAACATCGGCCCAATGTCCATCTTGCAGCTCAGGATGGAGACATACAACAAGCATGGAAGAGACTATGTGCCCATAGTACTTGTCCAAGATAAAGCGGTAGATGTTGAGCTGCAAGTGGTACTTGACACCCTGCGCCTCTGGCAGGTGCTCTAATGGCTCCGCCAAGGCGTGCCAAGGATTTTCGTATTTGTACGTTTGCAATCGACAAGCCTCAGACAAATAAAGCAGATGCTGCTGGCGGCGTTAACTCATTACTTGATACCTTTCACATTTTGCATGACTGTACCCTTTACACCAAGGCACACAAGCTGCCCCTTCTCGTCAGTCGCTGCGAAATCGATGCAACCTGCCAGCTTTTCTTCTGTGGCCCAGATGCACCACTCTGTGCGAAAGGCAAGCAGCGGCTGCGCGCGGCACAAGAAGGTAGCTAGCAGACCAATCTCAGCACAATTCCCATCGATAGCCCCACCGTTTAGTAGACACCTCCACTGGGGATGGGCCCACGTCCCTGCATGCGATGCCCTTTGTGCCTTCAGAGCCCAATCTTCCTTGATTTCAGCAGGAGACATCATGTGACTCTCAAGCATGGCAGAACAACTAGCCAGCGTGCTGCGCAGACACTGGCTTACTTGCACTAAGTTTGGCGAAGGCTGCGCAAGAATGGCCCCCACTGCTGCCAACTCAGGAACTTGTAAACAGGCACGGGCGAGCTGCATCCCATGCATGTAGCCACTGCTGCCGCTGCTTAGCCTTCTCGTACGACTGACTGTAGTACGCGGCTTGCTCCACAGAGAAACCCGCTGCTAGCAATTCTGCGTGAGACTTCTTCGGCTTGGACCCTTGGCTTCGCCTTTTGCCTAATGCAGCTGCTCTATTGTGGCGCGTAGCCAGGTCGCAGGGTCTTTCCGCAGAACAGGAGGTGGATTGGAGGAGCCTCCATACGCGTCGCTGCCGCCAATTGCAAGCAGTAATGCATATGACTCATCAACCGCGTTCTTAAAAAAAAACTATTGGCCCCATTGCCCAGCAGCACCTCCACTAAATCCGAAATAAATGTTAAAATAACTTTAAAATGATTAAAACAATTAAAAGATTGTTTAAAAAATAATTGTTTTGAAATCCTGGGATGCACCAAACACAGGTGAATTAGAATAATCAAAACAATTAAGAGGACGTTTCCTACTAATTAGTTTAATTATTTCAATTATTCCTTGGGAAATCGCAAAATAAATAAAATAATTGAAATAATGAAAGGAATGTGCCTACTATTTTTTTCAATTATCTATCTTATTTCAAATAGTTTAATTATCCCTTGGAAAAATGCTACACCAGCGTGCGGGTCAGATAGGCCCCGCCCCAATCTTACCTCCTGAGCTAAAACCAGGCCTGCCCCGCTGGAAGCTCTTCCCATTCCAGCGCTACCTGGCAGCAGAGGTGTGGTGTACCAACTCGTGGGGCTGCCATTCAAAACAATGGGTGACCAAAAAGGGGTCCTGGAAAAATACGGGCTTCTTGGGATTGGCCACTTGGTGGGAAACAGCATCCTGGCACACCGAAAAAACAAAGTTTCACAAGTGTCAATGGTGGTGTTCCAATGAGTTTTTTTTTGCGAAAAAAACAAAAAATCTGGAGATTTTCCCTTACTGTTTCCTGCGGGTCAAGTTCTGGGAAATGATTGTGATGTTTGTTTCTGTAATCCCCAAACGACACCCCCAAACGAAGCCCTGGTTTAGTATTGCATCGACTCAAAAAAGGGGCCTATTTGTGGAGGATCATCGCATCGTAACTGGATAGTAACTGAGTTTACCCACTTATACTTACAGGATGGGGCCCCCTAGTTATAAGTTGGTTTATAACCCCATCTAAATATAGTTATAAGTATCATACACTCTTGTTTTTATAGTTATAAACCAACTTAGCTAACTAACTATGGGGCCCCATCCTGTATATGTGATGGTGATAACCTTGTTGAGGGGACTTACAATCATCAGGGTTATCAACCACTTATCATCAACCAATTACTTTTTCGTTTGATGTCCTCCAAGTAGGGACCACAAAAAGATGCCGATATCTGTGTTTCCAGGATGGTACTTCGCCGATCTCTGCCTTCTATTTCATCATATTTCCTGTTTTTTTCCTGGTTTTCAACTCTTCTATCTATATGACCGGGGGTTGCTATACAGTAGAACCTGATTTTGCTGCACCATCCTGCCACGAACTGCATCTCCCTAGAACTCGAGCGGATCCAAAAAAATCACTTGCCTTGGGAGAACGACGTGCGGAACTCCTGACGCTTTTCCCCCAGAAACAAAATCTTACCATGGAAAATTGAGTGCCAATCAACCCCCAACTTGGTCTGTTTTAGAATCAAGGCATCCATTTTGAGGGGGTCCATTGGACGCCGATAAACTGCAGCCAGTAGGGTAATGCTTATTCTTGATGAAACCAAGTGCCGAGTCCATGGGTGATTGAAATTTGAGATTTAAAACATCCCCTACTTTGATGAAGCACCAAGATTCTACCCTGCCATTCTACCTCGAAAACGGCTTCGCATCACAAGCATACGGTTTTGAACATATAGCGAAAATGCATGAAAATCAGTGGAATGGGGTACCCAACAGCTTTAGAGAAATGGAAAATCGACTCAGTGAGTCGATCAGTCTACCCCTTCACCCAGGAGCTCCTCACGTCGGTGCTGAGGGGATCGCCAGGGGCCTGGACCATCTTCCCAAATGCAACCCATGGTGCACCAGTAGATAAAAACCTACAAAACTGGGCAATAAAATTGGGGTAAATGTAGGATAATGATGGATAATGTAGGTAAATATTACAGCACCATGGGTTGCATCTGGGTATGTACCCATACTACCCATACCCTCTAACGGCTACATGCTGGATAACTGCTAGCATTCTGGCAACTCATTTGCCGGAAAGAAACGCGGTTCAAAGACTTGCCGCCATTCCCATCCTCGCTAAAGGGCCATAAGTTGTGGCAAAATACCCATTTTCAGACCCATTGCCATTGAGAAAGGCATGGCTCAAAAAAAAATGAAAACACCCGCATATTTGCTCAGAGGAATTATCATCTGGGCTGTTGGGACTAGATCTTTTGCTGACCCAAATATAATATCGTCTGGGAGTCGACTGAGGATAAAATTCGACCACCCTCAATCGACAAATCATGGAAAATCATCAGAATCTTGAAATTGTTGGGCGTTCTGTCGATTTTTGGTGGATGACAGTATAATACCAACGTTCACATGACATCGTGTTGTTCTTCACGTTCCCCCAACGCCAGGAAGTCCCGTCGATCCTAGTGGAGTGTCCGGGTGTCCTACAGATTTTCCATGGAAAAACCCATAGGTCGCCGTTGCGACCCCTGCGACCCCGCCGCCCTCAGGGCCTCAAGTGGCACCTCTCGCAAGACCTCTCTGGGGATCCACCCGTAGGCAGGTTTTTGGGGTGCAGAGATGGGGCCAAGGTGCTGAAATTTCACCCCATGAATACTATAGTTACCATACAAAGTGGTTACAAAGATCTATAGTTGGTTTATGAATACTATAGTTACAAAATGTTACAAAGATACACAAAGATCATAAATCATAAATATTGGAGTTGTTTTTCAACCCCAACGAATCGCGATTTCGTCAACGAATCGCACAATTTGGACCTGGTGTTTCAAACCGCTTGTTGCGTCAAAAGTGAAATCTCCACCGATCTTCCAGCAACAAACGCCCCAGCAAGTGTTTAATGGTGTGCCTTAAAGCTTAATGCATCTTAAAGGCTGATTTGCTTCATCCTTTCTTCAGATATAAGATGTAAAAGGTATCTAATTTATTTGACATAGACTTAAGTACTTGAACCATATGTTTATGAGTCAGAACCCTGGCGCCCGGATTCCGTACCCAAAGTCATAGCTGGTATAGCTGGATGAATTTTCCCCAAATATAGTATAGAATGTATTAGCAATAAGAATAGGTTTTGACATGTTTTCACCCATCCAATTCCCCAAAGATAGTATTTAATGTATCATTTAATAGGATAATTTTATACAATGTGAGGCCCCCAAGATAGCTAAGTTGGTTTATAACTCCAATAACTATGGTTTATGGTATTTATAACTAAAGTTACTGGGGCGAATCTAAACCAACTTATATCTTGGGGGCCTCACATTGTAGGTTTTGACCCATCCCTATATGTCTATCTCTTCATCACCTGAACTGCCATTTTTTTGGAACCTCCAGGGCTGTCATGGCACCATTCAACTGGACGGCCTTTTGGCGTCCGCCTGGGAGAAAGAAACCGAGCTTGCAATTGGGAAGTACAATAATGTGTGTATATGTGTATATATATATATATACACAATCTATAATATGTATATATGTATACATATATATATATAACTTCTGTATGTATATATATACATTAGCATGTATATATGAGTTGTATATACATATATATATATATATGATTACATATGGCTTTGCATATTGGGTGTATCCTAAAACCACACCTCGGAACAAAACGCGGAAGTATAGTTCTGTAGAAGCATATAGACATGTGGGGTTCAAGAAAAAGTGATAGAAGAATGCAAATTTTGAGGAGAACAAAGTTCATTGATTTTCAAAAAAGTTGCTCAGAGAGAAGCCATCCAGATCAGGATGCTTGATAGAGATCCTGACCTGGATGAAGGTTTACGGTTCCCAATCCAGGAATGATTTGACCAGATTCCAGCAATCCCAACATTGCCTGAAGTCTGAATGTAAGTTTTTTCAATCTGGCTGGGTCAGAAGCTTGGAATATCTTGGAATACATTGACGTTGCTAAAAAAAACATGTTGTTTTTAAATGCCTGCACACTTTTGTTTGATAACTCCATGTCTGAATAGTCACAATTTCTCGCGTAAACGATTCCATGGTTCTTGATTGTTCATTCTTCAACATGGATTTTGCTAGAGTTATTGTAACAGTGTAGCTGTCTTATTTTTCTGCTTTTCCATAATGTGGTTAAAACGATAATAAACCATCCCCTGTTCATCACCATTTTTATAGGTGGTATGTTTACCATTCCCAGTCATGGGTGGTTTATGACATGGTTTTAACCACATTAGATCTCATTAAATCCCATTAGATCCCATTAAATCACCACTTTTCATAGTGAAATCCCATGAAAATCCCATGAAAAGCACCTTTTGGCTGTTGCTTTCGACCCATTTCCCCGGGCCAGGGCCCCGAGCCATGTCGCGGTGCATCCGAATCCTTGGGGCACCAGAGGGCTGGGGCCAAAGATTGACGTAACCTTTTGGTAATGTAGTAGTGATTAATAATGATTAATAATGATATTAATAATGATTAATCGAAGGAAGTTTAGAAGTCAAACTTCTGACAATATGGACAGATGAAAAGCAGAGCAGGGCAGAGGCAGAGAGAAGAGAAAGATTAGAAGAGAGAAGAGTAGAAGAG